AAGTAAAAGCACTCTGTTTAAATAAGTCTGAAGATAAAAAGGGTTAAAAAGAAAATGAATAAGGATGTGGTGGAGAGTAAACATGCTGCCGTCTCTTTCTAAATCCAGGTTCTAATAATTTCCCTGGTTTGAAGACTTTTTCCTTCCACTAAACTTTCCTTTTTTAAGCTAAACACTCAGTAGAAAAGCTTCTTTCGCAGTCATCTTGTGTCTTTCAGTGATGAACTAGCTGTCCTCCCAGGATGCTAAAGGCCTTAAAAAAATCTGTGATCTATTTTAGAAATGAGCTTTTGCATAAAAGTCTCATTTATTGCACCTGTATGAGTTGTCAGTGTGTAGGAGGGGAACATGCAGCAGTGCAGCGCTCCTGTTGTGACTCGGCCACCCAGGTTCTGTTTAGTGTTCTGTGGTGAATTGTGACTAAATCCTTTGATCTCAAGGTCTGGTGCTTTTGCAGGTCGAATTTCAATGACTGACGGAAACATACAGTATTTACTGACTTATTAGGTTGTTGTAATGAGAGTCCTCTCATCACCCGCTCTTGTTTAGATGTCAGATAACCTCTATGGTGTCGCCTTGTGACCGTCTCCACCTGCCTGCCCCAAACAGCAGGCAAACACTAAAGAAATTCAGTGATCTGTGAACCAACTAACATTAATCAGCTGAAGGAAATCTGTCCTCTTTGTCTGGAATCTGCAGCCTTTCGTTTCACATTAGGAAGAAATGTATCCCACCAGCAGCCAGTTAGATTTACCATAAATCAGAGGTGTGAAGATTTTTCACTCGCTTCATAGCCAAGCAGATCAGAGTTGGTAGAAAATTCCTGCAGGGTAGATTTCTTTATAAGTGGTTATTTGAGCTGCTTGATGTGGCGCATTTCAAATATTTTATCTGTGTAAACAACACTTGGTTCACTCAGGCTTTAAGGTTTGTCTTAACAGGAGAAGACGTTTGCTTATGTGTCAGCTCTTCCTTTCCGCTTTGGTGTCATACATGCTGTGATGTGTGAAGACGGAGAGCGCATGGATGGCTGATCCTCCCGTCAAACAGGCCAGTGGATCGCCACTGCTCTGTCAGATGAGCATACCCCGTCTGACCAGCATACCCATAGTTAATACGCAGATTAAGACGTCAGATTTGCGTTTACAACTTTTATTTTTTTAACGAAAAATACACTTTAAACCACTTCAACGGGCGTGTATCCCTTTAGTCACATACAAAAAAAACAGTTTAAGGTCAGTTCGCCATAAGCTTCAAAAAACATCAAAAAGTAAGTAATAGGGGTGTAAATAATAATCGTTTTGTATCGATGCATCGACACGTCC